GTACATACACCTTACTCTAATGCTAAATGACATTAGATAAGAAATGAACAAGTGAAAACCCATTTCATAAATCTAAACAATCTGGGAAACAAAGAAAAAAGGAAATTAAGTATTCAATCAATTCTGACCAAACTATAGTAATAAATGAACTTTCACAGATACTTCTTTATATACACAAAATCAGAGTTAACAGCAGAAAAAGCAGTTCTTAAATCAGAAGTGAATGTAAAACTACCAAATATTCAATCAAATGTTCCATCTGCCAGATTTATGGAAAAGAACTAATAGATAATTTATTTCATATAATTGAACCAGCTCTTTAAGAGCAGGCATTTCTCTGTGTATGAATGTGTGTATAGGTACGTATGTTTCATTTATTCTGTACTTATCTGAAAATTTTCAGTATACAGACCCCACCATCACTAAGTGGACTCTAAATGATAAAGACTTCTAGGAATTTTATTTATCATTAATTTTTTTACCTTGAATATCTCTTATTTCCAGACTGAGAACTCTATCCATCAGTGCAGAGAATGCTTAGATATTTAACTTTTAAAGTTAACTAATATTTACTGAGTATCTCTCATGTTTAAGAAACTAGTTAAGACTTTTGTTCATTCAAACAATAGAATTTTGTTCAGAAATTAGAGTAAAATCTACAAGATGCTTGGGGAAAACTCCAAAAAAGATGTCCATATGTATAAGATCTTTCACCTGTGTTTTAAAAAGTTATTTACACTCATATTTACATGTGCCCATAATTACCTGGAGAGCCATTGGTACAACACAGAAGAAGCCACTAACAAACTAGAGGTGGTGGGTGCTTCCGGAGTAGAAGGGGGACTCAATTTCCATTATGTGGTTTGCAACTTTTTACCATGCACAGCTATTATTTAAATGAAAAAAAAAATTAACACATTCCCAATGGGATAGTCACACATGTACCACCAGTGGTTCAGAGCTGCCCAGCAGTGAGACATAGAAATTATGGCCCTGTCATGAATATGTTAAGTCACAAGCATATTTTCTAGAGTAGAAAGATTATTTACTGAAAAGGAGCAGTGATTCAAAAACCAACAAGGAGTTTTTATAATTTAAACTAGCGTTCACATACTTTAAATATCACCACAACAGATTTTCACATAAAGGCAGTATTACCGCTAAGTGTCATAAAATAAGTATCGCAGGTTAATGAAGGGCGTGACCAACATTCAAGTTTTGTCCGGCAGCATCCCCACCCTGTTTCTGTGTGTGGGTACATGGCCTGACATACTTCTCTGTTCCCTCTACTGTGTCCTCACATACATCCAAACTACCATTCCTTTGGATCTAGCAATAACATTGCAAATAAGTGTAACTGAAATGCAGTTTGCAAACAGAATATTATGTTTTATAGTCATGATGGTTGGACAGAATAAATTCTATTTACCCTACACAGAGGACTGCATTTACATCACATAATGATACATACTACATATACGGCCTGGAATGCCTGTATTTTTCAACTAGTCATTTTTCTTCTCCAATATGTCATTCACAGGCCTATGACATAAAATGTTCTCCTACTCAGAGATTTATAAAGTTAATGTTCAGAGCCACATATAGCATTGTCAAGAGAATTCAGTAATTTTAAGCATGTGAGAGTCCCTAACTCAGAACCTAGCACAGAGCCTCACTGAAATGTTTGTGGAGTGTGAGTAGTTTAAGTACAAAGGCTGAATATGAATGTAAACTTATGAATATTTTAGAAAACTATCTCTGAAAGATAAAGCTATGTTAGAACACTAAAAATCTGATGGAGTGTACTAGACATTTTGGCCTTTGACTAGATAAGACAGTAAACTATATCAATGTAACACTTTTTTAGAACAGGAACAAAGGTAAAACTCAAGCAGTATTTGTTTCTTAAAGTATTGCTACAGTAAATCCTGAAACTGAAGAATTTTTCACATTTTGAATTTTTCACATTGTGAAAAATGAGGTGATTTTTAGCACCAAGTATATTAGGGAATAGTTTACCTAAATAGTAACTTTTTATGTCAAAGGATCAGTATGCTAATAAGATGACAATTAAGAAAAGAGCACCAGGGCTAGTGATTTAGCTCAGTGGTTCTGGTGCCTGCCTTGCAAACACAAGGGCCTGAGTGTAATTCCAGCACAAAGAAAGAAAAGGAGAGAGAAAGTGGGGGGAGAGGGAGGGAGGAAGAGAGAGAGAGAGAGCGCACTAGGGCTATTTGGTTCAGTGGTGCTGTCACCTGCCTCACAAGCTCAACGTCCTGAGTTCAATCCCCAGTACTTAAAAAAAAGAACACTCGAAGAATGAATTTCACTTTTTCAAGGCATTTGAATATGTACTATCATTTCCCACAATTATGTGGGCTCCACAGATGGTACAGAGAGAATTAGGGAGTTGTCTTGAGAAGGCTGGGCATCACCACTTAGGTCTGTGCCAAGAGATTTCATATGCATCTCTCTTTCAGCTGCCACAATGGTAAGATGCCATAAAATGTAGAACTTCCTGATTTAAAAAGAGGTTTACAGAGTATAAAAAGAGATGTTATACTGGAGGCACATTTCCTTTGTGAGAAATACAACTTATGATTCAATATCTTAAAATATTCCTTCTATCTGGAGTAAGATAGAATTTCAGTGTTATAATTTGCATTTCTCTAATGGCCAGTGATGCTGAATATTTTTTCATGTATTTATTGGCCATTTGTACTTCTTTCCAGAAGTGTTTATTCATTTCAGGTGCCCATTTTTTGACTGGGTCTTTTATTTTGGGTGGTCTGATTTTTTAAGCTCTTTATATATTCTAGATATTAGTCCTCTAAGGAATAGCTGGCAAAGTTTTTTTTTTCTTTCTACTCTGTAGTTTGTCTCTTTATCCTTTGCTGTGCAGAAGCTTTTAATTTGATATGATCCCATTTGTTGATTTTGATACTATTTCTTGTGCCACTGGGATTCTGTTCAGAAAGTCCTTGCCTTTTGAGACTTTTTCCATTTTATCTTCCAGTAGATTATGCGTTTCTGCTTTAATATTTTTATCTTTGGTCCACCTTGATTTTAGTTTAATGCATGGTGAGAGATATCATTCTAGATTCAATTTTCTGCTTGTGGATTTGTGTAGCAGTTGTGGCACAATTTATTAACGAGGCTACCTTTCCTCTAGTGCACATTTCTGACACCTTTGTCAGAGTTCAAATAGCTGAGTTTACCTGGGATTGTTTCTGCTTCCTCTATTCTGTTCCACTGATCCAGTAATACTGTTTATATCATGGTAGCTTTGTAATATAACTTCAAATCCAGGATTGTCATCATCTTGTTTTGCCCTTGTTACCCAAGATTGTTTCTATTATTCTGGGTCTTTCTTGATTCCATAGGAATTTTAAGATTGTTTTCTCTAGTCCCATGACCTTAGAAATGCCCTACATGTCCATGAACAATTGAGTACTACTCTACAATAAAAAATAAATAAATTTGAGTCTTTTGCAGGAAAACGGATGTACCTTGACACTGTTATGTTAAATGAAATATAAACACAGTTTAAATATTTCATGTTTTCTCTTATATGAGAAACTCAACATATAAATAAAGCACAACATAAAAGGTGCCTAATAAGAAGTAGGGAGGTCTTTTTCAAAGAAGGGGATCAAATAATGGGGGTGGGGAAGGGAAAGGAAATGAAAAAAGATTTGAGATGTGTTACAATTGTGTACCAACTTTTCACAACAAATACAATCATCATGTAAGGCAAACATGTACCAATAAAAAAAAACTGAAAAAAATAAAAGATGCCTTCTGGAATCAATAATTTATGTTCCAAAATATCTAAGACAGTTTTAGTACATCAACATTTTATTGGTAAATTTAATTCAGATGACATCATAATTAATATAATCCCTAGCATTTATTCCAGTGGCAATTTTCTCTGTATAATGCTTTGCATTGAAACCAATTTAATACTCTTGGCAAAACTTCCTTAAAATACAAAAGTTGTGATGTAAAAATATCCAGCAAATACAATTAGCACCAGTAATAAAAAAATAAAATAAAATCATACTGTCTTATGAGTTGATGCTAGCCTGATTTAATCTGGTAAAACTGCCTGATTCTTGCCTATCATTTAAAGGTTCATAGTATTCTAAAGTCATCTGATTTGTGGTATATATGAGAAAGGGTGATTTCTCACACTACCATTCTCAGAAGATCCTGTTTATGAAAACTTTCATGTAAGACAGAAAAGTAAACTTGAATCACTTAAATAGTCTCAGAGTGACTGGTGGTTAAGCTCTCCTTCTATTCTGTGGTAGGATGTCTGTGGGCCAGAAACAATGAAGGTTTATTTTAAAAAGTCTTCAAACAATGCATTCCATTTTCAATAAAATAAATGTGATTTTAAGATAATAAGAGTGATTATATTCCAAGTTCATTTTTTAAAAATGCAACGCTAACTAAAAATTAACTTCTGGAATATACTTGTAAGGATAAAAATGTCAGGGTGACAGATTTTTTTCATCATATAACCTTTCCTTATGACAAATGCAACAAAAACTGAAATGCCTTCCTTAACAAGAGCTGACACGCAAAGCTTCCCAACATGCATGGCTCCAGAAATCCCAACAAGGCAACACTGAAGGAGTGAATAGAAGGCATCTTCAGTAGATGGAAATCCATGAAAAGTTTCACACATCAACACAAAATTCCTTAGTTTAATTAAAATCAGCACTTTAAAAAACCATTTGGCTGGACCTTCTCCACTTCCTTAAGAAATCAAAACAGTTACTTCAACTGTAACCTTTGCCCCAGATCTGCACTTCACTCCATTAGAGTCTCCCCTCTTCATAACATATTCTTCTTTAGCACTTACTTTGAAGTTCATGTTCCTGAAAGGAAAGCCTATAAATCAGCTCTCGGGGCAAATGAAAACCAGCACTGCTAAGGTCAGAGACGGATTCCAATGATCCAGGCACGCATTCACTCATTTGTTTTTTTGCCAGCACTCGCTTGATGGCAGGCCCGGCACCAGGCCTTGGAGACGGAGGCAAAGGTAAACAAGACTCAGTTCCTGCACTCCGAGATGTTTAAAATCTGGTCAAAGGTGAAATTAAGGTAGGCTATATATGCTAAGAGCAGTATGAATAAAGTGCCGTGGAGACACAGGAACAGGGATCCAAGTCCTTTGCACTGAAGCCTCATTGTCTCCAAGGCCTCTCCGTAGTAAAGTCGAACATCATCAGGGGGTAACCTGAGGAAGAAAGACAGCTGTAGCAGAGACTGCACACCCACGATGCACTTTATGGAGAGTGTTCTTGTGGGCTGGGTGGGGGGGCTCCGACAAGGCCAATTATAGGACTTTTCACACTTTGATAAGAGTAGAAATCACACTCCACTTTCCACTGCGACACAAAGGAGGGAACGGCTTCCATCTGATAGGGTAGCGATCTCTGTCCTTGTTTCAGTTATGTCCTATCACATGCTTCCACGGTGACTGTATTCTTTTTAAACTTTTTTCTTGGTACATTTTCGGTATACATATAGATCATTTCTATCTGTACATAATAATCTTGTTTCTGTTTACGCCAATTCTCTGCCCTCCCTTCCAGCACTCTTCCCCTCCTTATTTACAAAAGCTTTGTTTCCATTTTTTTCATTTATTCTTGTTTGCTTTTCCTTTTCTTCTTTTCTCCCCTCTCCCTTATTTATTCCCCTTCCTATTTGAAGTTTTTCTTTCTATTTCCCAATATCTATTATATATTTTGGTCCTCATTTATACTTTTGGTTTTGCACACCAGAGAAAGCGATACTTAAACATGTGTGTCCAATTCATTTCTACAGTGACTATATTCTATAAACCAAAAATTAGAACTGGATAAGATTTTTCAAATAAAGGTGTATATGTTTTGCTGCTGCTGCTATTGTTATTGTTGTTGTGTGGTATTGGGGGAATGAACCCAAGGCCTTTCACACTGTGCTGCGTCTTCAACTTTTTTTTTTTTCTGTACCAGGGATTGAATTCAGGACCTTATGCTTGCACGCCCTTTTTTTATTTTGAGACAAGTTCTTATTAAGTCAGTAAGTTGCCTAGGCTGGGCTCAAATTTGTGATCCTCCTGTCTCAACCTCTCAAAGTGCTGGGGTTACAGGCATGTGCCATTACTAGTGGATAAGAAGCACGTTTTCATAGACATTTTAAAGACCTAAACGGTGAACCACACATGGCTATATCATCAACATTTTCCAGTTTTTATTCATTAGTGAATGATCCATAAAATTCAATGGATGTGTTGGGATAGACAGTAACACATAGCAACCACATCTTTGCTCTTACTACATCCAAATTACACTGATGCTGACTGATAAAAAGCAGTCAGGGTTGTTAGTGCCAACTGGTGACAAAAATCTAAGTTCTTATCCCTAAAGATATCAAAATAAAGGTTTACAGAGAGGAAACTCAGTAATATGCTCTGAGAAACCAGAGTTACAGTGTTTCTTCTAACTCTGTGGAGCAGGTAGTTAGAGGTTAACAGGCCTGAGAGACAAGGTTCAAGTACATGCTATGACAGCTACAATTAAATGAAGAAACAAAGATCTGAGTGTATAATAAATTTATAATAATGCATTAGGTTTCAGACTCAAAGACAGAGAGACTCTATTAGTAGAATAAGACTCACAGCATTCTTGCTTACCATAGCCTATGACGTGAGAAAAGGGGACATTCTTTTAAATGACCCTCCTGCCTTGGGCTGAGAGCTGATTTAGATGAAAACTTACTTTTCATAAATTTATTTGCTAAGAGTCTCTCTCAATCACTTTGCTCACAGAGACACAATACCAAACACTGGCAATTGAAAGAAAGGTTTATTTCACCTCACAGTTTTAGAAGTTTCAGTCCATGGTTGGAGGGCTCAAACACAGAAACAACATGGTAGAAAGGCCTCCAAAAGACTGTTCACATCATAGCAGCCAAGAAAGAGGGGTAGCCAGGGAGGGAGATTCATCCTTCCAGGTCCTGCTCTCAGTAACCTGCCTCTTTCGACCAGCCTCTTCTTCCCAACAGCATGCCCACATGGACTTTTCAGTGGACTGATCCATGATCAACCACCTTCCAAGAGTTCATCCTCTGAACATATAAGGTCTTTGGGGACATTCTAGACCCAAATTATTATACTTAAGTTTCTTATATGGTGAAGATCCCTGAGGGAACACTGAACATATAAAAAGAAAAAGGAAGACATTTGGCAATTCCAAATAACCTCTAAAAAACTGTCCATGACTACTATAGTTCCCTGAAAATCAGGAATAACTCTTGTGTTGATACAAAGACATGGCACTCCCCACTTTCTCACTTAAAGGCATAGATCTGTCTATATCTGTTTTACCATAAATCCTACCTATATGTACTTCTACATAGCTACTTATATGTCTTGACTGAATTCTTCTATCAGAGGCACAAAAGACAGGAGGGAAAGGCCAATTCCTCACAGCATCAGGACCAGGATGGCTGCAGGCCTTGGCTTCCAGGTGGCAACTCCATTCCTTCCAAGGGAGAAGAGAAAGGGACTCTTAGAAGTTACAATACCTCACTTATGCCAAATTTATAGACATCAAAAACAAATACATGACCAAGAACACAAGCAGGAAGGGCCAAGGGCATCCTCTGTAAATGCAGATACTAAAATATATGAATGTGTGGTGATAAAACTTCTAGAGCCTGGTGGAAACGACTAGCACTGAACTTTGCATATAAGTGTAATAGCTTGGCTTCTCTGGTTTAACAATTCACAGCAGAGAAAAGAAGAAAGGTTAGAGAAAAGAACTGCTCAAGTTAAGACGTATAAACAGCACTGGCATGCAGTATACACATAAAATTTTTCTCCATGGATGAATAAATGGAGGTGCAAATGAGCAGCAATCAATAGACTTGCAATAAAAATACAAAGACTTAAAAGATGATCAAAAGACATCCAAGATAACTGATTTCTTTTACATTGTTGATACACAATCAGTTATGCTCACTACTGTTTATCAGTGCTGATGATAACAACCATTAAGAAACACAAATTTTATTCAGTATATTATGCTTAACAAGTCAGGTCCATGAAGCAAATACTTCCAATGTTTTCCACGACAAAACAGTTTTTGCAAATGTCACTGCAAATAGCAAACCTCCATTGTCTGTAAAGTTCATTAACACAGCTATTCTCTTTGCCATCAATGCAAGACAGTGTTTCTCTATTTTGCTGCAAAACGTATTTTATTTGTAGGATTTGTGCTTAAGCCCCCATGATGACTAAAAGTCTTTTTTTTTTTTTTTTTTTT